ACCATGCTCATTGCAAAAATCAAAAAATTGATTATTGCAAAACTCAAGCCCATTATCAGTCCTTAGGACCTTGACTTTCTTATCAGTCTCATTCTTTACAAGGGTCTTCCAGTTCTTGAAGCTATCAAAGGCTTGATCCTTTTGCTTTAAGAACATGGTCCATACTCTTCTAGAGTATGAATCCACAACCGAAAGGAAGTAATGGCAACCAGAGAGAGAAGGGGGAACATTAGGTGATCCCCACAAATCAGAGTGTAAGTAATCAAGGACTGATTTAGAAAAATTTGAAGAACTAGGAAAAGGTAACTTGTGTGTTTTCCCTAAAATACAATTTTCACAAAAGTCAACACAAGTTACTTTCTTAGGACTTAAAATACCCTGTTTACATAACTCAGACAGACCCTGGTTTCTAATATGACCCATTCTCTTATGCCAGAGAACAGATTCATCATCCTTGGCTGCTGTTATACAGCTTTCGGATGAAATAGCATGGCCCTGTAATATATACAGGCCATTAATCAACCTTCCTTCCATTAAAATTTCATTACCCTTAAGAACAGTGAGTGAACCTTGCTCACTCTTGAATAACAGCCCACTTGAGTCAAGCATACCTAGAGAAATTAAATTTCTCCTCAAGTCAGGGACATACCTCACTTCTTTGAGGATTTTATGGCTGCCATCAGCCATTAGAAACTTGACAGCCCCAATCCCTTCTATTTGACAGACCTGGTCATTCCCCATAAGGACCTTTCCACCCTTTTGGAACCTTAAACCAGCAAGCCACTCCTTCCTAGGAGTCATGTGAAAAGTGCAACCTGAATCCATAACCCATTCAGCCTCAAAGCCCTTATTAGACACCATAAGGACTTCAGCACCCTCACACCCACTAAGTAAATTTGCATACTCAGTTTTGGTTGCTGCCTTTGCAGCTCCCTTATTATTTTCAGGGCAATTCTTCTTGATATGCCCCTCTTTATGACACAACCAGCAGGTAAGTTTACCTTTTGGCTGCTCCTTATTTTTATTACCTTGTGTATTCTGGTTAGGTTGGGATACATTATTGTTTCCCTTCCATTTATTTTTAAATTTCCCCTTCTTGTTCCCTTTACCCTTCACAACCAGCCCCTCAGCATGGGACTTTTTATGGGAGAGTATTTCAACCTCCCTTGCTTTCAAAGCTTCAGTTATCTCATCTAAGTCCATTCCCCCTTTGCTGTATTTTATAGCATCTTTTACACCCCTATAAGAATCTGGAACAGAATTCAAGAGGATCAAAATTTGATCCTCATTTGAGGCAGTTGCCCTAGCATTATCTAGATCTAAGGTGAGTTTGTTAAACTCATCAAGATTGTCCTCCAGGCACTTAGAAGGATCCATCTTGAAGGAAAAGAATTTCTCCTTCAAAAACATCTTGTTTGGGGCAGATTTAGTTTGATAGAGAGCCTTAAGCTTTTCCCAAAGCTCTCTAGGATTAGTTATCTTACAAACACGCCTAAGGACACTATCAGACAGATTTACAACAATTAGACTATGAGCTAAAGCCATTAAGTCTTTTAGTTCCTTAGGTGTCAGGGAATTAGGAAGATCCTTTTCAGGACCAACAGCATCCTCACACTTCTGTTGGACCAAGACAACCATTATCTTGATCTTCCACATGTTATAGTCACCCCTCCCATCAAACTTCTCCACCTCAACCTTGGTGATACCCATCCTCTTCAGCTTCCAACAGCAGATAGCACGAGGACCAGAGGGAAAAAGACAGAAAACACGGAACAGAAACAGATACTGACCAGAAGAAAAAAGGAACCAAGAACCTAAGCTCTGATACCACTTGTTACAATTCTTGGTATAGAGCTACCAAGAATCACCCCAGAAAACCAACTAGCAGAAAGAGAAAACATAAAGAACAACACCAGAATTTATACTTGGTTCAGAAATTCTTTGTAAAAGAATTTTCTACATCCAAGTTGGCCAGTGAGGGTCAAACGCCCTCTAGCATGCAATAATATTCAGAATAGTAATATGTACAAATATGTTCAGCAATTTACATATACCAGCAGCTAACACAGCATATACTAAACATGTAAATCAGCACCTACTCACAATTACAGAGAAATACCAGATCTGGAGAAGAGCACCACAATTACAAATGATTTATCTCAAGAAACGAAAACTATCAGAAAAAGAATTAAAGACAAGATAACACCGTTCTCAAGCAAGCACCAATAACACCAGCACCTCAGCTACACGATTTCACCAGCTCTGCATCAGTCCACGAGCTCACCATCTTGAATCATCTTCAATTTCTGATAACCGTATCTTCCAGAAATAAACCGATTAAAGGATGCGCCTCACCACAAGGAACAAATCTCTCCAAACAACTGAGGTGAGATTCTCAGTATTTCTCACTCAAAAACCCTCTCAAAATGTTCAACAAACCCTAAGTCTCCTTTTCTCTCAAAGAACCCAAATGAACCAGAGAGAGGAAAAAACAATCTGAAAGCTTATCCATTAAACAGAATTCGACCACGTATTTTTAAGGCCACTCATTTTTAGTTTTGTTATCACAGCAGTAAAAACGCAGCGTATTGACTTAGGTTACAGATAACTAACATATAAGAGTAATACTTATTGGGCCTCACTAATAAAACATAAGCTTCAGCCCACAAACAAAATGGACAAACAGATATGGAGCAAATGACATCAGTATATCGATAGTTGCAAGTTTAGGAAATATCCACAACACAATTTATTAAAATCGGCTCAGTCATTAACTTGGTTGAAGTATTAAATCACTGGTTCAATCATTTGGTCATTAGTTCAATCGCATGATCCGGTAATTATATATAATTTTATAATTTATATTAAAAAATTATAAACATACTCAAATATCTAAAATAAATGATAAAAATTTCAAATATTTTAAAATAAAAATAATAAATCACATATTATTATCCAATAAAGGATCAAACAAAAATATAATAATCATGATACGGGACTTTAAGTTCAGAAAACGACATCTCTAATTATAAATCAAATCAAAATTTTCTGCATAATGCATAATTGAGATAATATTAGTGTTGTAGATACATAATTTATATAATTTATATAAGTCAATAAGCAAAAAATATTCAAATATGTGCATTATGATTTTTATTTTTATTTTTTAAATTTTGGAAAAAAAAAATTTGGGACCGGTCCGGGTCATCGGTTAATCAACCGGGTCACTGATTTTCATGAAAACCGACCGGGTCGAATCGGGTCGCACCGATTCTGATGCATAGTCAGTCCATTACTTCAAGCGAACCAGTTATATGTTCAATTTATCGATTTTCGAATTCACCCAGATCAGTCTAATTTTATTAACGCTGATCAATACATCCAAAAAAGTTCTCAACATGGTTGTTGGGAATATATTTCCAACGGAGAGTGATCATTGCCATTGAGTAAATCTTCGGGTATATTCTTGCTATATAAAAAGAAAAAAATATATGAATATGTAAGAAAATAATTATGAACACAAAGATACTATAAATATGTTACTTTTTTCATATTTGATAAAGAATATACCAAGTGGTCCATACATCTATAGTACTAAAAATATTTTTGTTTTTGTTTTTATTTTTCCTTTAATTCAAATAAAAAATTTAAGAGTGATGTGGCACAACATGGATGATGGATTGCCTTTACCTTTTACAAAAATAAAAATAACTCTCCATTTTCCTTTCTAAAAAATATTTATATCCCCACATTTCTCACTATAACTATTAAATAGTTAAAATTATTAATTAATATATTATTATAATTATTAATTACTGTATTAACAATTCTCATTTGATAATAATAACTAATTAATTTTTAATGAAAATTTGATGTAAATTCATTGATGACAATTTTATGTAAATCCATTAATTGATTATAATTGATTTATACAAAAATTTATTTGTTATAAGAATACACAAATTTTATAAATGATAAACTTATCATTAATCTGTAAATTTACTGAAAATTTATAAATTTCAAAGAAAAAATAAGAATTCATTAATTTATAATTACTATAATTAATTAGTTATGGTGATAGACCGACCACCACAGACCTTTCCCTTATATGCTCTAATTTTGCTTTTTTCTGTCTTTTTTGTTTTGTTATAAAGTCAAGCGCTTCGCCACATCTAACTCATCAAGTCAAACACTTTCTCAATTCAATAAATCATCACAACACAAACAAATAGATAGATAAACAGAGAGCAAGAAAGCTAACTTGAACGATAAAAATGGAGGTTCTGCACTTTTCAAAGAGAAAGAGTCTATATGTTGTGATGGTTCTGGAAGAGTGAGAGAGAAACAGAAACAGAACACAATGTTTGGTGAAGAAATGTAGAAGAAGAAAAAGGGTTTCGGTGGGGAAGACGATGAAAAGGGTACGAGGGTTACAATGCAGAAGCGAAAAAATGAGACGGGATTAACCTTGTACATCAATTTTTTATCAGACCTAACCTCATCTTTTATATTTGATTAAATTATATATTATGTTGACATGTTATTATATAAATTTAGTTTATACTATGGTCACAATAAACGGTTAAAAAAATATAACATGTAATATAAACTTATACTGAACTTATATATAACATCATTAATGCCCTAAACGTTTATTTGTAGGGAAGCAAATACAATTTTCTGTCTCCATCAACTCTACAGTTAGTAGTGATTTTTAATTTAATTACAGAATATAAATTGTATTAATTAATATAATTATTAATGGATGTAAATTGAGTGTAAATCAATTAAAAAAATTGCTAATAAAATTTAAAAATGAAAAAGAAAACATATTGAAAATATAAAAGGAATAAAAAATACTTGATTTATTTAAAATATATTCTTTTAATTTTTTGTAAAAAATCACACACACATACACACCACACACACATATATATATATATATATATATATATATATATATATATATATATGTATGTATATATATTAAAAAAAAAAAAAAAAGTTAATCCAAACTCCAGTCGCGGTTTGAGGGTTCTAACTTGTGAAGGTTGAAGAACGACCTCTCTGCGAGTGTATAGACCACGCTACATTAGCCGTCGCGGATTGCTGATTTCATCTTTGTTGATGTTAATAAGAACTAAACAGGTTAGCTCAGTTTACCCACTTATTTTTTTGTCTGTTTCGTTTATGTGTGCGTTCTGACATCACGGAATTTCAATTCATCACTTCTCATTCATTTGGGGTTTTCGTTCGATTCCTTTTATTCTCTATTGCATCCTCCCTTAATCAGCCACACTTTTCCAAGTAAAGCAAAATCGATAATTGTGAGTTTGCAACACACTTGTTTGCAATTCTTTTTAAGTTATTATCAGGTTGATAATATTTCGCATTTCTAAATTGTAAGTTTTTTTTCAGCTGTGGAAGGAATGATGTGGACAGTGCATTTCTGTTTTAGTTATATAAATATTGGATAGATTTCTACCACATGTTAAATTACATAAATAATTCCGTAATATTTATTTGTCTAATGTAGTGAAACAAAGCTTATTTGTCTAATGTAGTGAAACAAAGCGGATATGGAATGCGTGGTTCAGGGAATTATAGAGACACAGGTGAGTTTATATTTTCTTCCAAGTTTCAATTGCCTTTTTCTTTGAAGAAAGGTGAGAGATGTTCTGGAATTAATTTGATTTGGCTACACTGGTATTATGATGCACGGGCACGGACACGGACACGGACACCTACGCCTGCATATGTGTGCCTGCGTGTGTGTGGGATGGGCGTGTGCGTGCGTCATCTTGCTGGTACTCTGCTGTTATAATTTTTGGATCTGATGTTATAGTCCATCATTCTTCATGTTAGAGCTATAATCTCCTCCAAATTTTTCTCTTCCTTTGTTTCTAGCATTGCTGACCATGATTGCTCATGTATTGGTTTGGTTAAATTTGGTGCATGTTTGTTTGCAGCTTATTTGGAGATAATCTTTTTTTTTTTTCAAAATCTCTCTCTGGAAACTTCCAAAAAAAGCGTTTACCCCAAAATTAGCTAATTCAAACATGCACTTAGTATTTGAATTCAATCCTTGAGAGTTAGCTTATGGTTCTGTTAACCCGAATACCCTAGATACTGAGGCAAAAGATTGAGTAGCTGCCTGATTAGACCCCTTTCTCAAAACAAAAAAAAAATGCAGAGAAAAAAACTTGAAGGCATAGAAGAAACAAATTTATGGTTACTAAATGATCACTAAAATGAGTTTTCCAGTTAAAAGAATGAGTTTTATATAATTTAAGTCACATTTTCTGCATAGTTTGAGTAGCCCCAACATTGCGGGTTTGATTTCTTTAATGTGATATTCCCTGTTCAAATGAAAAGGAAGCTGCAAGGCTGACGTCCAAACATGTAATATGCATATTAATACTTTCAAATGGAATAGTAACAAAAACTGGTCAACAGAATAAGGTCCAATGCTGCAATAAACAAGTTGAGGAAAAACCCTAAGAGATGATGTTCAAATTCGGATTTATGTCTCTTTGAAGTGGATTTTTTTTTCCATCTAAAAAAAAATATAGCGTTGGCAATGGCTTGTAAAGAAAGAAACAGAGTAAGAAACCTATGAAACATCAGGTAAACATTATATTGATGGCCTCTTCTTTGTTGAGTGCTCCCACATTCCCTGTTCCTTCCTTTATCTTTCCTTTGTTACTATTTGGCACCTGTAACTAGTTTACCCTTAACTCCGTTACGGGTATAATTGCAAAGTTCTGCCTGTATCAGGCCTTAGCTTTCCGCAATTGAATTTATTTATTTTTTAAATTAATTTAAGATTCACCAAAGTTCATGTTATCTCTTACATGTGGTTATAATATTTATTACATGTTTCTTTTATTGAGATTTGATCATTTAAAAGTTAAAACTTCTCTGAAGCTGAATTTTGGGTTGGAGAAGCTGATAGAGAAATAAATAATAAGTATCCAAATATCTCAATGTGGTATGCAAATAACGACCTGCTTTAAGCTCTCTAGAATGAAGTCTAATATCATAAGATGGTATTTGGAAATTTGCTTGCCATGATCCAAAATATTTTACTGTTTCGTGGAAGTATTGAAATATCAAACTGTTATTTACGATTACAAGCTTCTATTGGCTTAACATACAGAAATATTCAACTTTTCTCACAAAGTATTCACATATTAGCATTCCAAATGGCCATTTTCACTTCTACTAAAATTTTCAACTGAGATTTTTCTTTGAAACCTCTTTAAAACATGTGTTGAATCTTGTGTTCACATGATCTTTCTCCTTCTGTACCAATGTATTTTTCCCTTTGGACAGCTCATTTGTTTGTTTCCTTTCCCAGAAATAACTTGATCCTCTCCTCTCAGATTTTAAACTATTTAATGTTTTGTTAGACTGTCACTGTTCTCTAGTAGCTTGGGTATACATGATGATATATTATCCTATGTTTGATTTTGTTTGGAATCTCCGTATGCAGGACAGTTTCTTTCTGATGGCTACTGTTGCTTGCGTTTGTTTATCTCCCTAGTTCACTTCTGCACTCATTAGAACTGTGTGAGAATTTGACAGAACATCCTAGAATTACATTTCATTGAACATAAAGAATAAAGGAAACATTATTTTAGCTCAATATATTAATAAGATGTGCTTTAAGATAATGAAGACATGTTATCTTAATATTAAATCCTTTTCAGAAGGAAACCTTCATATGGAACGACTGTGTTCAAGACAACCTTGACAATTGATATTTTGCTATCTTTCGCAGCATGTTGAGGCCCTCGAGATTCTTCTTCAAGGACTATGTGGTGTTCAGAGAGAACGATTGAGGATCCATGAGATATGCCTCAAGAGTGGTCCAAATCTGGGTGAGTGTTTTCTTCCAATATTTTGTTAAGCTGTGGGGTGGGGCCAACAACATTTACTTTTATTTCCTGCTATGAAAGAATTTTTTTTTGGTAGATAGTTATGGAAGAAATTTTATTACTAAGAATAAAGGGAAGAATAGCAATCTCCTTGGAAAAACAAATATGAAATAACTCTAGAAGGAATATCGTTGTTACTTGTTTTACCCTTTCTGTTCTGTGACGTGGAATATATTCATGGTAGTCCTAGATATAGGTTGAATCTGTATTTCATTTTTCCTAGATGCGGGTTAAGTGTTTTCACATCTTCTATGATTCTCTCAACATTATTGTCTAGTTTTCTTGAATGAATGTATGTATCCAGTTTTCTATAGTATATCATTTCTGATCTTTCTCAAGCTGATCATGATTTTATGGCTTTTCTTTCTAGGCACTGTAACCTCAGAGGTTCGATTGTTATGTGATCTAGAGCAGGCTGAACCGTCATGGTAAACCAAGGAACTTTATTGTCGTTCACTTGTTAGAACTTTTTCCCTACCCATATATACATTATCACGTGCTTGATGACTTATTCAGGACTGTTAGACATATAGGGGGTGCAATGAGGGGTGCAGGTGCAGAGCAAATTTCAGTTCTGGTTAGGACAATGGTGGAAAGTAAAACAAGCAAGAATGCACTTCGTTTGTTTTATGTACTGGGGTACAAGTTGGACCATGAGCTGCTGAGGGTGGGGTTTTCCTTCCATTTCTATAGGGGTGCGCAAATCACTGTAACAGTTTCATCAATCAATAAAATGCTGAAGCTGCATGCAACTGATGAGGCTGTGCCAGTAACACCTGGTATACAGATGGTTGAAGTAACAGCGCCTGCATCTGCTGAAACCTATACTGAAGTTGCTTCTGCTGTGTCATCCTTCTGTGAATACCTTGCACCGTAAGAATCTTTCACTGTCTTCTCAATTGAACATTTTTATATACTTACCACAAATCGTTTATTTACCCGGATGTTGGAGCTGCTAGTTTTGTATACACAATGGTTGGTAATTGGCCTGTTTACGCTGTTGTTAATTTTCTTTGTGATTGGCCAGTGGACAATCTCATTTTATAATTTTATTTGGCTTGTTTTATATCGCTAATCGTGATTGTCTAAGGTTTTCCCACCCTATTAGACTTAGTTAGCAGTAATCAATTTGGGGGGACTAGCAAATCTGCATAAGCAGATCATACTGTTGGTTTGTTCCTTCATATAAATCATTGACACATGCAACTCTTTCATGGCAATTTCTCAGGCTTCTCCATCTGTCAAAGCCAGGTATTTCAACCGGTGTTGTTCCTACTGCTGCTGCAGCTGCTGCATCTCTAATGTCTGATGGTGGGGGTACAACATTGTAGTGGATTTGCACTTTTATATATATAAACACACACTTGACGTACTTTAAATTTTCATGATCTAAATAGTGTCATCAATTGCTTCTTAATCAGTCAATTGGTATGCCAAATGTAATTTGATTCTTCCAAGTTGTTTGGGATTAGTAGTGTTATATTTTATCAGAAAAGAGGAGAAAATTGTTAATTGTTAGGACGTGAATGTGTCGGTCCGTACAATCTTAAACCATCCAAATTTAAACCCCAAATTCAATTCATATTCATGTATTTCTAAAATGGACCAAATTTTATACTTAATAGCATAAAACTGGTATCGAATCTGAACTGTTACAAGGACCTGAATTTCGTTCGGTCTTTATAATTACACACTCACAATACGAGAAAATTTTTGGATTTTTTCCTTTGAAAATTTATGCAAATATTTAAGGAGTTAAATTTTACACTAGCATATGAACTCAGATTTAAGCTAATTTTTCTCATTCGAAATTTTGACGTTAAAAAAAAAAAGAGAATTTTTTTTTCATGCACACAAATTAGAAGAGAGAGAAAAAGCATAGAGTGGAATGAATCTTTGGTGCTATTGTTGCATCAAAGATTCAGTACATCCCACCAACAGAAATTTTACATGCCAGCTAAAGTTTTTTTTTTTTTTCTGTCAAATTTTTTTTTCTCTTATAATGTGTAATGCTTCCATCAGTGGAATGCACTGAATCTTGGTGCAACAGTAGTACTAAAGATTTATTCCATAGAGTGAGCTTCACCTCTAATTCTGCCTCTGAGAAATTTTTTCTCTATTTCCTCAAAAAAAATGTAATTGATTTTGTTTTTAATATTTATAAATATTAAAATATGAATTAGTTTTATTTATATTTCATATATTTTAATATTATATTTAAAATGCACATGAATCATGATTTTAAACTGTTTTTTTTCTATATATATTGTAAATATTTTGGCTAAAACACAATTGAAAGAATAAGTAATTGTAGACTTTGCCTATTTGTCACCTTTCGTGTCCTCCCTTATACCACTTTGAGAGTAGACTTAAAATGAATTTGTAAGTTTCTCCGCACAATTATAAAAAATAATCATGATTCGGCATCGATTTGTGTGAGTCTCATAGATTAAAAAAAAAAACACATAAAGATATCATTCAAACCGCAACTTTCTTGAACGCCGAATGAGCATCTTTTATTCTATATTGTTTTTATTATTTTACTATGGAAGTTCTCAGTGGGTGGGTTGGGTGATGTTGGGGATAATGTGATATCTAATCTAATTGTTATAAAAATTGCACCTGCTATAGCTATTGCAGTGAAAACACCACTATAACACTATTGGTTTATTTCTCCACCTTACACTAGAAGCACAAAAACAATTGCTAATTGCCGTGGCCATCTTCGCCTTGTCGAAGTTTCGCAGCACTTTACTCGTACCAATAATTATTTGCCCTGTAAAATCTACAAAGGCCACAAAAATCCCAATCTGGGATATAAAGACATCTTAGTAAGAGTAAGTCAAGGTGGATATAACGCGAGGGTTTGTATTTCTCTATTCTCTAGAAGGAATCAGAAGTATATTACATCAAATATGTGTAAATTAGCAAATTCGAAAAATTCAAATGACTCAATAAGAATTAACAATTTAAAAACACTGTTGCATGTTATACAAAATAATGTATATTCTATTAATTTATAAATTAAAATAACCTACCTAGAATTGAAAAAGTTAATTAATGTAGATACTAAGAATGTGTCGTAACAAGTGAGTTTTATCCGACATATCTTGGCTAAGAGGGAGGACGGTTGGGGCCTACATGAATTAGGATATCATGTGGATCAAGCAGAAAAATATTTAATTTATATATTTATTGTCTGATTATGAAACTATTATGCTTTTTATAGATTTTCCAGTTTTTCTTTTAACATTCTATAAATTCTTTTAATTTGAGTTAAGGTTGCTGCACTAAAATTCGTTAATAATTATCCATTTTTATAATTTATTTTTTATACTCGCATTTTAAGAATTTTAATGACTTATAAAAAAAATGAAGGTCCGTCGCATGAAAATAAGACTCAAATCCTCTAAGTTCTTTTTACATTAGTATAAGATTAATAAGTTTTACACTATATCTCAATTATTGATGGACAAAAATCATCGGTTGATATTTATAGATAATTAATGATTAATCAATATTAATTAATTTATATGACTTCTTAAATGATAATCGTTAGATGCACAAAAATCAACGGTTGAGATGTGGTATTTATTAGTCTTACACCGGTGTAAAATGATCCTAATCCTATATATATATATATATATATATATATATATATATATATATATATATATATATATATATATATATATATATATATATATAGGGCTTATCATTTCTCAAGTTTCTTGAGATAATTTTATCACCGGCTACTAAATCATAACCGTACAAAGATAGATCAATGGTGATAAAGGAAGAGAAAGAAAAATGAAATCATAACCATTCAAATGTGAATCAATTAATATAAGGAAATAAATAAACAAAACGACGTAGTTTTTGGATAGACGGAGATAAATATATTTTAAGCTACTTGAGAAATATTTTTCTCATATATATATATATGAGGTAGGATCATTTGACATCAGTGTCAAATTTGAAATTTGACACCTCATCTAAGAGCCGTTAGATCAAAAAAGATCAACGACTCTTATTTGTAAGCATGTGACACTGTTGATCTTTTTTGATCTAAAGACTCTCAGACGAGGTGTCAAAATTCAAATTTGACACCGGAGTCAAAGGATCCCACCTATATATATATATATATATATATATATATATATATATATATATATATGGGAGGGGTTATATTTACAACCCAAATAGTTTACAAACTCTTACAACCATATCTTAACCGTTTATTTTCGCCAATCAACGGTTGTCATTTATTGTGAATTAATAATTAATTAACAAATTTGATTTGTGAAAATCTTAACCGGTGATTGACGGAAATCAACGGTTAAGATATGGTTGTAAGAAGTTGTAAACGAAAATAGTTTGTAAATATAACATTCTCATATATATATATATATATATATATATATATATATATATATATATATATATATTGGTTAAACTTACCACTAAAAAAGTTATAAGTTATAACCAATTTAATTATCATTGGATCAGAATTAAATCTAATGGCTCATAACCAATACTTATAATCTTAATTATCATTCTTCATCCTCTTTCACCTTCTCTCTAGGTCTGACAACCCTCCTTCTATCCTCTCTCTAGGTCTATTAACTGCACATGACAAACTAGTTAATTTGTCTCTCACTCTTCAAAATGATATACATAGGATATGATCAATTTACACGTGTAAGAATATATTTCTAATATCAAATCTTAATCATTGATTTTTGTGTATCGGCTATTATGATTCATTGAAAATTAATAATTAATTAATGAGTGTGATCCAATAAATCACAACTGTTACATTCACATAAATCAACGGTTAAGATTTAGTGTAAGGCTTATTATTCTTACACTAATATAAGTTGATCATGCCCCTATATATATAGTGCACTGGACGTATAAGTAATAAAGTCGATAAATAAGAGTATCCTTTCCACAAGGATTAATGTTTCAAACTTTAGTTCATTATTTTTACTTAGGTTGGCGAATTCGAATGAGAGATTTAATTAAAAACTAATTAATAATTAAAATAAGAACAAGAACAAGAATGCAAAATCAAGGATTCAAGCAATCAATAAAAGCATAGCTGGGGATTCGATTTCCCTCAACCTCCACTATATGTATTGAATTAAATCCTTAATAAAACATCATTTTTATATTGCCAATCGCTTCATCTAATTTAATTAAAACTCAATTCCTTAGTATTCTAACCCTTTACTCCCTTAAGAGAATCCTACTTCCTTAGTGTTTCTAAAAGGATTTAAGCATTAAAATCAAGAATCATAAAAGTGGTATAACTATTCAACGATTCATATGTCTAACCCTATATTCAAATAAATCAATGATAAATTTACCAACCCCGATTTGTATATCAATATCCCTATTGTCATAAATGAACCTTATACTAGTCTACAAGAAGATTAGCTCATAGAAGCATATGATGAACATACAAATTCATTCAATATAAAAAGAAAAAGTTGCATTAAAGATTATTTCAGAAACATAAAGATTCAATTAGGTTCCATCTAACCATAAGTACAAAGAAAATTAGCTGCTCATGGCAAACCAAAGACAAAAGAAATCATAAAACAACATTCCAATGAGGGCGTGGTGAATCTCTACAAATCCCAACTTGATCTCCCTTGGTGAAAAGCTCCCTCAGAAAGTCATGAAGATAATATTTATAAAGACGTATGCGCCTAAGAATTAGGATTAAGCTTTTCTGTTTTTGGATGCTTAGGTGGAAAATCTTTTGAATGAGATTTCATTATAATATTTGTAGCTCCATATCTTCCTAATTATCTAAAATACTAAAAAGTATAAAAATTAACTTAATTATTCATAAAAAAACTTAATAACAATTCATCTAATTATTTCAATATTAACCATTTAAGACATTATATTCATATTTTACTCCTTAATTAGGAGTTTTAAGACTCCATTTTGTTGGAAATCAACAATCAGACATACTCGAGATCGAAAGTCGAAAAGATAAAGGGAAGAAGAAAATGACACAACAATTTATCTTGGTTCACTCAATGTAAGCTACGCCCAGTTTGTCTGTACTATATTCACGACACTCGTTACAAGTCACTTAGTTTACAAGGGAATATAAATAGGATTTAGAAAACCCTAAAAATAGCTATTCATGGGTCTAAGTCCAAACTACTAAGAAAAGGATAAATACAATTACTCAGCAATGAGTCAGAGGCCTACAACAGTACCAGACATCTACGGGCTCGGGGGCGTTGCCCCTTGCATCCCCGCCGGGGAGGCTCCCCTAGTTGGCTTTCTGCTAACGCTGCCAACAAGGATCTCCATCTAAATGCGAAGTATGAGCAATATCCAATGTTATCTCCCCCTTAAATGTGAAACATAACGTTGGTATGCTTCCACTCAATCGAGTACCTGGCCCAAATACTCCACCTGCCTCTAGCCAATCACCAGGCTAACTCAAGCCAAACCCAGTTTTATACCA